GTGTACGTAGAAGAAGCTGGTACAGACACACCCTCTGTGTAAAGCTTAAAGTGATGAATTAAGGATTCCATGGTGGTGGCGTTGCTGCGTTTTGAGAGAGAGCACTTTGCTTCTTAAGGCCAGTGTTGCTTTGATCATTCTGAATTGAAGACCGACTTTTGCCAACTGGCGAGGTGTTATGGGAGGAACATACCCGCTAAGATTATTAGTAGAGGAATAGGCTGATGATTGCAGGGTGGAAGGAGAGAGAGGAAACATGCGTAGAGGTAGTAAGGGGAAGGTGAGACGAGACATTGTTCTCATCAACTATTATTTGAGACTATCCTCCTCCTCTCAGAAGTCTGTTGTTCACATGCGATCTCCTGGGGATTGTCGATCTTCGGACCTTGACAGTTTCATGCATGGTGTTGATATTTTGAGCTTCTCGTATCAAGTTCATGACAAGCAGAGCACAACTTATCTATCTTGTGATGTTTGAGTAGTCTGCCATGCCAGTAGGAGAGCGGCATGGGTGGGAGACCAGGGAGCAATAGGGAGTGGGAGGACTGGCTGGTGTGGAGAAGGAGACATATCGGTGTGCCTTGAGGTTGGAGTGGCAGTATGGGCAAGACGTGCCTTGTTGTGCCCTTATGGACTGATGATATAAAATCATATAACACGAAGTGGCATTAGGAGTACTCAAATTGATTTGGTGTGTGACGAGTGCATGCTTTGGAAATCTTGATGTCCTTTGACTGTGTACATCATGGCACTGGCTGTGGTTATTAGGTCCTCTTTCCATCTCGTCTTAACTAGCTTTTTGTCTCAATCTTCAGCATTGTCAAGCAGCTGATATCAGGGCTCATGATAGTTAGTTGTCTGTAGTTCTCTGCTCGGCTCCTGTAGCAGGCATGAATAAGGCCTGTTGAGACAATATTGAGCCTGTACAGTGAGATCCATTGAAAGTCTGGCCAGTGGACACACACTCATCTGAGGTTGTGGAGCTGTTGCTAGCTAGTCTGCTACCTTCTTCCCTTGAATACGACGTATGGTTGTTATAGCTGTATTTGGGGTATCTTTCGGTATAAATACAGCTTTAATGACGGTATGTTGTATTCCGGGGAAGAAGGTAGCGTTATTTGTTGTGCAGCAAAACTCAGTTGACTGCAATGTGTTATCGCGACCTTCTTGATGAAGATCGCGAGTCTATCTTGGTGCTGTTTATTTAACTCCATTATCTTTTCTTCTTCCTCTATGCAAACATAAAGAAAAGAGCTCGGGCCAAAGAAAGAAAGAAGCCCAAGTTTCATTACTTTACGAACAAGATATATTCAGGCCCAAGTTGCATTACTTTACGAACAAGATATATTCAGGCCCAAGTTGTATTACTTTACGAACAAGATATATTCAGAAAGTACGGCACCAAGAAAGCTCCGTAAAGAAACGATTGCGCAAGCAAACAAAGTTAACAAACACGGAAGACCTGTCTGAGTTCAAACAAGGTGATCTGGTGTGGGTTAAACCACCAGTCCTGCCGACATTGAAAAATCGGGAGGACTGGTAGCACACACGAATGAGGGATACCGGTAGGACCGTGTGGAGAACCAGCTCAGTGGCAAAAATGGAAAATGCGTCGAATCGGCGCGACGGTCATTTCACTACCTAAAACTTTTTTTTTCATTTTTTTGATATTTTTCTTAAACAGATCTCGACGTAATCTACTGGGACACCAATTTTCAGATTTTTTTTTCGAATTGGTCTGATCGCGAAAAATCACGGAAGTTGAGGTACTTCTCCGTTGGCCGAAAGCTGGCGGAGTGGGAAAAATGGAAAATGCGCCGATTCGGCGCGGCGATAATTTCGCTATTTAAACAAATTTTTTATTTTTGTTTTATATTTTTCCTGGAAAGATGACGACCTAATCTACCGGATCTCAAAATTTCAGATTTTTTGGTGGATTATTCAAGGCGCTAAAAATTGCCAAAGTTGGTGCTTGGAAAGTGGGTGACTGGACCCGCTGGTTGCCTGTCGGTCGGCGCCCCCCGCCAAATTCGGCCCTAACTCACCGGAATGCTCGTTTTCGGCTGGCGGGGGGACTGGTGGTTTAAGTCTAACGAATTCCCCCCTGAAGGAGGACTATCCAAGGAGTTGTACTCGATGCTGCGTGTGGGCGGTCAAGATGGTCAGGCATGTGTGATAGATATCCCAACACCTCTCAGAACACATGCGGTCTTTCATGTAGACGAGGTTAAGTTTTTGCTAATCGCAGGCCTATAATTCCACCAGCTAGGGATGGAGGGTATGGAGTTGAGGCTATTGTAGAGCATGGACTCCTTTTTTACTAAAGGAAGTGGAAAGCAAAAGCAGCAGCAATTGTTTCAAGTCCAAGTCTCTGCCCTGTCCTGACAACTTGTGGATTAGCAGAAAGGAATCGATGCCATCTGCTTCTGATGTTTTTGATGGTCATGAAATACCTTCCGCGGCCTTTTTGCTAAAATGAAATATAGTATCTGTTCTGATCAGTTTAATATCTGATCCGTGGTCCACTGGGCCACAAAATAAGTAAGTAAACAAATAAATAACCAAAATAAATAAATAAGGTGAAATTTCTGGGATGGGACTCCAAATAGGGACAGCGAGAGTGCAAAGAACGGAGGACAAATCAGCGTAGAACAAGTCTCAGGGTCATACCGTTTGGCCAAGTTAAAGTCAGCAGAGTTTCAAGCTTCGGCCGACACTTCCAGAAATCCGGTTGTGGAGAGGCCGCACCCTCTCCCATCGATCTGTGACTGGCGCCCTTCAGTTCCCCTACTATGGTGGCTCTGTCGACCTTCTCATTATCATTGTCGAGGGAGGCCAATCCCGTGATTGCATATTTGCCGGCGCCGAAGGTGGCCCCTAGAGGCCCTTGACAAGTCCTTACGTCAGTAGGCCTGGGGTGGAGGGGAACGAATGCCCTGGGCCCTTACGTCAGTAGGCCTGGGGTGGAGGGGAACGAATGTGCCCTGGGCCTCTCAACATGATAGTAGGGCCCAGGAAAGTAAACCATCAAGCTCAACCCGGGCACATACGTGAAAGACTTTCTCAGGAGTTGACCACAATCGCAGATCACACACAATCCAAAGGCTCAGTGCAGTTTCCAGAAGCTTTGAAACACTGCTGGGATCGAGGCACACATTGCCGGCGACAAAATCCTGGCCTTACAGAACGAGGAATCTCCGCCACATGAAGAGGCAACTGGAGGCAGGGAAGACCAAGTCAAAGCAAGAAATACTTGGCCTGCTCCAGGTCGTACAGCACAAGCTCTGGAGAATGCAGACGAGTGAGAGTAAGGGCGAGAGTAGCCATAGCTAGGATAAACAGTGTGCTGGAGACAGGTTTGAGGGACAATTACATGCTGTGCAGTGCAAAGATCGAAGTGTGTGTGTGTGTGTGTGTGTGTGTGTGTGTGTGTGTGTGTGAGAGAGAGAGAGAGAGAGAGAGAGAGAGAGAGGGGTGTTACCTGGACTTACCTAGTGGTGTCGCCTTGTTTGGAGGGATAGCCCTTCATTTTGGAAAGCCGTCATTGTTTTGACCAATATTACCCTTCATTGTGCATGATCGATACTGAATTGCAGAGTGGCTTTGCCATATGATGATTCTGATGAGGTATCACTACATCATTAGTAGAGGGATAGGTCCATGATTGTGGGGTGGTGATATGGAGAGGAAAGAAGCCCGGAGGTACAAAGGGGAAGGCAAGACAAGACATTGTACTAATCGAGTAGGCTGGTCGTCGGGCCGTCTGGGGCCCTGAACGTCGCCCGGGGAGGGGGCCGGGCCGCCTGGCCGGTTGTCCCGCCCGGTTGGCCACCGGGTGGTCCTATGGCAAAACGCCTGGGGGCCTCTCGAGAGGCCGAATCAGTCCAGGCCGCCCCCCAAGGGCCGGGAGCACACGCCTGCGAAAAAAAATAAAAATTGAAGGCGGCGCCAGGGCCTTTTTTTGGGTGATCGATTCTAGCCGCCGATCTGCAGAGATCGGTGGCTAGGATCGGTCGTCGAGAGAGGGGGCTGGGTTTCGCAAAATCTAACCACGTGCTTGAACTCCGATGTTGAGAGTCAGAATGCAGCTGATAGTGTTTTCCCCAAACCAGCTTGGGCAAGCCAAATAGCATGGCCAATAGTGTGTGGACCTTGCTTCTGAACGATCCTAACTAGGGTCATCAATCGATGGAAGTCGAGTGCTTCTTCTTCATATGTGTTACGTGCACATCGCTTGGGGCATACTTGCACTAGGGCTTTCCAGTACGAATGGGACCTCGTGTACGGGCAAATTCGATTGGAAATTTTTACTGTGAGTATGCTCTCGCAGTCCAGCTTTTACTCTGATTCCCCTTGTGGGGGTGATCAGTTTGGCCCTGAACTTTTCTCAGCCTTTCATCTCCTCGAGCATACTTTGTTTCCTGGCCGCTCTACTTGACTCTTTAGCTGTTGCCGCACCCACTGACTCAGGCGCAGACCCTACTGGTGCTATGTTTGCGCTTGGAAAGCATGAGCATGGTTGTAAAAACAGTCAGATTTCTTCTTGAATCTTTGCTTTGCTGCTTCCGATTCTCAGGTCTAGTGTGTTCGTTGGGTGGTGATAGGTCTTCTTTGCGTCCGCGGCTTGCCCTGTGGCGAAGGGAGGTGTGACCTACAATCTGCAGGGTTTTCTTCTGATGTGAGTAGGTGATAGTCTGCTGTGATCTCTACAGAAGTGTTAGTCGGTGCCTGTTTCGGGTTATCAGGCTGCAGGGCAGTGTGTGATGCTTAGCTGCATTTGGGTTGAAGGCATTTTATGGCTTGGACTCCCTTGGAGTGTAACGGAAACCACCAGTAGGGTTTCTGCACACTATTGAGGGTTCACCCCTCTGATTAGTCAGTCAGAGTCAATTGAACAGTCATACACACAATCCCTCTCCTTTTCACAGCGCCATGTATGGGAACATTGTCCGGACTTTACCTTCCTCAAAATGATGAGCTCCAGTGAACTGTTCACAGCACAGTTGGGATCAAACCACCAGGATCACTGTGACTCAGGTGCGCCACCGGAGCATTCAATGGGTAGGAGCGATGGGTGGTGTGTACAAAGTCCAGTTGCATAATATCAGCATTGGTTGATGATTCATGGGTAGTAGGCGTTGGTTGTTCAAGATTGATAATTGCCTTCTAAGTTCTTACTAGAAAGCGCCTCTCAAGATGGATAATTGCAGCATCTCTCCCTGTCACCGTCAGCCATGAGACAGTTACCGAAACCTTTTTAACTCAAGCACACGTAAGGGCTCGGTGTTCATGTGGCCGTGCACATCGAACGGCATCAGTGACCTCTCCCTTCTGTTCCGCCCCCTTTCTAACATAGTGTCATAAAAGCTGCATGAATATTGGACAACTTCACAATAAATGGTCGCGGTAAACGAGTGTGCATGTGTGGTGATTTCTGTTTGCGAACTTGACAATCTCCTTCATTAATGGTCCCAAGTCAGATGAAAGCTGCGTTCTTTGGACAGGCTCTCCCACCCTGATCTGGTCAGCTGTCCTTGTGTATATATATATGCAAGACTGAAACTGATGCAGTGGTATTGGATTTCCGTGTATGCTGCTGTGTGTCAGGTTGAGGGCATGAAATACGATCCGGATGGAGAATATGTCAGGCGGTGGTTGCCGGAGCTGGTGCGCTTACCAACAGAGTGGATACATCATCCATGGGATGCTCCGCCGGAAGTGCTGAGAGCAGCAGGCATAGAGCTGGGTGTGAACTATCAACTTCCGATTGTTGACATGGGTGAAGCTCGTCAGAAACTGCAAGAAGCGCTGAGCGAGATGTGGGCGAGAGAGAATGACAATAACTGCATGAGAGCAGCAGGAAATACTGAAGAGGGGTACGGAGAGACAATGATTGTTGTGGAGGGGTCAGGTAGACGGGCAACGGAGAACATGGTGGTGGAGAGGGTGATTGTTGCAAGGCAAAAAGCACAGCAGAAGTCCTCCAGCATGTTTAAGGACCAGCTAGTTCCAGATATGGTGACAGAGTCCACGAAAAAGGCAGCCGCATCAATCCTTGCACCAGCTGCATATCCTGCGAGCGAGGTGGAGACGCGGTCGGAGCAAGAGGGGCAAGAAGCCCAGCCAATGTTGCAAGAGGATGCTGCAAGTTCAGGAACGGGTCTGAGACTGGAGGACACAAGTGGCCATGCTGCTGGCGTGGAGGTTGAAGTTCAGGTTCGCGAGGCAGCAGGCGGTGCAGCTGCACAGCATGGATCTCAAGGGAGGGAAGACGTCATGTCGACGGCGGAGTCCTATACGTCTCCTAGTTCTGATAGAGGTGGCATGGCAACAGTGCCGGTGTGGTCGCAGTCAGGGTCGTCATCAAGGTCTCCATCACTAGCAGTGGATGGGAGGGTGCCCACTGTTCCTGTTGTTCCGGATGTCAGGAAAGGTATCGGTTCAGGCGGGCGTAGCAGAAGACGTATGCAGCCGCGACAGGGAGTTGGAAGAGTAGGACCGTTGAAGGTAAGTGTGTGCTCAGGGCATTGAGGGAAATGTGCAAAGAATCGCAGACACAAACATTAGCAGTGCCCCTACTGCTTAAACTACCAGTGCCTCTGTTGAGTGCCGGATTGTTCAGCTCAATACCTCTGGCTGCATGTAGGTCGTCGGTATTAAGCTTCAGAAAAGCTTGGTCACCTCAGGGCAGGGTTGATTTTGCAAATGGGAATGCACATCTGCTGTGACACACAGGAAAAAAAGAAGAACACTATGAAGGGCGGCTATCGCCCTCTGTGTTTCTTTGGTATGGTGCGACACCATGGCTAGGCGGCGTAGGCGCATTTGAGCGCATGGTTTCCATCGCTACCATCATTGTCATTGACATGACGGGGCTCTGACGGCCTCTGCAGGAAATGGGACCAGCTCCAGACGGCAAGATTCGGAGGTACTGGTGGTTTAAAGAGGGGCAAGTGCCACCTTGTTTGTTAATAAAGCAGGACATCGGTGGCATTCAACCCTTCGATGGGCTTTGAATGAAAGGATCAGTACCAGGAAGGGTGAGAAGAGCACAGAGGCCATGATGTTCATATGCGCCATCACATTGTTTGCACTTTGTGCATGTTTCTGCATGACTGGATGAGCGCAATGTTTGCGTTTTGTCATTAAAAATACACACTCTTGACACACATTGTTTGCTTGTCTTCTTTGTTTAATGTGTGTATGTCCAAATTTCCACTGTCATACCTAAGCCTTAAGGCCACACAATGCGCACATGGTAAATTCAAGTCAATGTTAATCCAAGGATTAAAGGCTTGATATCAAAGATCATCAAGTGTCCTCCTCCTGCATGTCATTCCGAAAGTGGGATATGGTGTTGTTTGAGTGCTTTTGTGGATAAAAAGCAGCATACTTCCTAGAGGAGCTCATAGAAAACAGAACGTGCACCTGAGATCAGAAGGGTTTAGGTGTGAGCTGGTTTGAAGCGTTGCGTACTTTCAACGTAGTTGGCATAAGAATTATGGGCTTTTTTCAACTTAGTTGGCATAAGAAAACTGACTGGAGATGATGGTAAGCGAGGTATAATTCCTGTTGTGTAGGTATTCGAGCTCACTGGAGATGTGTGATAGAACTAAATCGTTGAAGTCACAGGCAGTCAGCTGCTGCCGTATGCCTTTCTCAATCGTCCAAAGACCTCGCAACACTCCATGCTCTTTAGCACAACCTTGGAGGCCCGTGTTTTGAGCACTTGAAGGGTCTCTCTTTTCCTGGGAGCGATCAGAATTTAAGTCCCATGTTTGGCTCATTGCCTTGGCTCTACAACCTTTGCGCTAGGCATTACTGGCATGAAGGTGGCGGTGCCTTGCCCCTTCCACTTCCAACCCCTAGTTTTCCGGAAGAGAAGAAGCGTCTTACATTGTTAGCGCTGTCATTGTTCTGGCACCAGTGATCATCGCTGTATGCAATGCAGGAGAGACCTGTGCCTGTGTTTAGTACTCAGTTTGTCGCATAATCATGTGGATGCACCCGTATGTAGTGTCAATACTCAAGGGGGGCCATCTGGGACTATATGGGACTGGGACTATATAAGACGACCTGTTTCTGTCGGTCAGTGATATGTTCCTGTGGTTGTCTGGCAATGCTTTCTGCGCATTACCTGCGGCATGCACATGCCAATAGGTTCCTGACCAAGCGAGCAGCAAGAGGTGCTGAAGATGCGGCATTCTGCTTCAGGTGCCAGTTTTGAGATCAGCGAGTTTCTTTCAGTGTGCGAGTTTCCCGACTTGCCGTCCATCACGAACTCAGGATCTCACAAGTGTGCAGGTGGATGGATGGTCATGATTTCACAAGGCGGCGTGCTTTCTGTTAACATGTTCGATGGCTATGTTGCTCTTTGCCTGTAGAGTATTTTTGCTCTCTCCTTGTCTTGGAAGAGCCCCATCGCAGAGACGGTGGAGACATGCAAGCTTGACTTCATGTGATGTCTGCATTTCCCACCTGTCAAGGGCTATCTATCAGTTCCTGCACTGACCACAGGTTGACGGCTAAGCCACTCGGGTTCGTTGTATTTCCAATGAGCGTGCTATGCTGCTCGCTCAGGAAATCGCTTTCCTTAGAGGCAGAGAGACATCTTGCGTTTGACATTTGGGTCTTACATCATGCCTGAGCATATGGGACCCCTCAAGGACTCTGCCAGATTGAAAAACTAATCCTGTCTTCTAGTATGTGAGCATCTCCGAGACTCCTTAGGGAACCGAGTTGCCGCATGAGATCAAGGCATTTGAAACTGGTCCAGGTCCAGTTTGACTTTTCACTTTCAGTTGTTTGAAGGACTGCCCTCTGATTGCTGCAGCCAGACATTTATGTAGCCTGCTTTGAGTCTTGTAAAAGTACGCGGTCATTTATCCGTCTGCAATGGCGGTGACAGCAAGCATGTTCTGCGTGCTGATCACCTTTCACTCTTGATTGAAGTGGAACCTCTGCATGTAGATAGTGAAGTCGGCCCTCCATTGTGCACTCGCATGGATAAGCTGGGGCATTTTCGGGGGGAGGTGGAAGGAAAGGGGCAGATTTACAAAAGCGGTTTCTCTCAGACATACGGCCACTTCGGCTCCCTTTGTTTTCCACAAGCATAGTCTCCATCAACAGTCCAAATGCAAACTGTGAGAGCATGGCCTATCGATCCTTCAGCGTTTCACGACTTAAAGCGAAGCTAGAGGTGTCAGAAAAGCTACCACAGGGATAACTAGCTTGTGGCAGCCAAGCGTTCATCACAACGTTGCGTTTTGATCCTTCGATGTCGGCTCTTCCTATCATTGTGAAGCAGAATTCACCAAGTGTTGGATTGTTCACCCACCAACAGGGAACGTGAGCTGGGTTTAGACCGTCGTGAGACAGGTTAGCTTTACCCTACTGATGCACCATCGTCGCAGTGGTAATCCAACCCAGTACGAGAGGGAAGGATGCATCCTATCTATTGAGGGTGGATGATCTGCAAAGTGCCTGGTCAATAAAACTGCTTGCCGCCTACATGATTTTTTTGAAGTGTTACCAGGGCGGAAACTTCCAGGGCTGCAGAAGGGAGAGAGAAGTTTGGGACTCTACTGTAAGGGTGCATCTCTGACGGTCTGACCAATTCGCATCAAAGACTGAGAAGAAGGAAAGAGATTAGGTTATGGGTCTCAGAGCTGTGCGTTGGGGTTGACCAACTTGACTAGGTACATTTCTGGGGCACAGATAAATGGAGGTTAGTTGGGGGTCCATCGTTCTCGAGTACAACTATAGACAAGGTTTTGCAGCTAATAATAGCCTGCTATGGTATTCTTGACTCCATTTAGTAGTGCTCTCTAGTCTCTCCTGTTCAGGTTCAGGATCTATTGTGCCATGATCCTCCTGGGACCTATTTTTATGAAGACGTGAGTGGTTGATTGTGGATCTAGGCTGGTGATCGTGGCAACTGCTTGTGTCCCAACCTCACGTTCAGGTGAAAGGAGATAATGATAGCAAAGGCATCAGTATCAACACCCGACCAGGATCTCAATCCCCAACTCAACTATCATTCTTCAGAATTCGAATTGGGTGAAACAAGGTGGTCCACCGAGTGACGAAGATGAGTCAGGACAAGCATCAGTGCCTTCCAAGTGTCCTGAATGGTGTAGATGGATGCCATGGTCAAGCCTGTCGTCATCCATCATGAGTATCAACAGAGGTCTATCACGTGTGTAGCTTCATTTCTCTCACAGATTCGACAATCTGAGTCAGATGTGTGTGACTGAATCGATATATCGTGTCCTGGTGGTTAGAGACGTTGGGTTCAGTCGCGGCAAGATCTTCTTTCTATGTAGCTTCATTTCTCGCACAGGTCAGGCAATCTGTTAAATTTGAGCTGCTCATACGCACAGCAGCCTCATGTCGGCGGCTGTGATGCAGATTTCCGATTTCGGAATTAGTCAGATGTTGCAGGATAGGTATCACCGGCTGTGCGTGTAGTTCCTTTTCGTACAGGTTGAGCAATTTTAGGCATTCAGAATTTCAGATGCAGTAGAGTATGGGTTCTGCGCTTGCTAAGGGGTTATGGGTTTGCAGGGACTTTGCGCTTGCAACTTCAGGCTTGGTAATTATATACAATGTGGTGTAAGATTGTTGATTGGTGTGAGCATCACTGAGTGATCGAATTCATGGGAGCTGTTAGTCCTCTTTGAAGACCGACTGCTGTTGATGCTTCATGTGTGCCTAGTACACCCCTAGGTAAAAAAAAAAACAGAGTGAAAAAGAAGAGTAATGTGGGTGATGTGGGTACCTTCTTCATGAATGTATACTGCAATAGCGGATGTTGGTTGGAGTTGTGTCATCTGGTTGGTACATGCTTTTGAAGTGCTTCTGCACCTGTCCTCACCCTACTTTATTGGGCGTCTTTCTCTTATGTCATACTATGTATATCCTTTACTAGCCGTACTGTATCCCTCTTTAAGTGAACGGGTCTCAGAAAGGTGTGTGGTTTTGGGAGAGACGCGGTGAATTCATGACCTGAAGGGTAAATCTAATAATCTGTGAGGAACACATAATGCGTCCAAACTTCAAACTTCAAATTCTTAATGATGTGGACGTATTGCAATCAGACTTGTCTTCAACTTGACTTTCAACTACATACATGCAGATGCCGATGGCAAAACAACTTCCTCAACACAGAATCAGCAACAAGCTTGAGATGGCGCACATCGCCCACACACAAAGCTCAGAGCTATGGCCTTCGGCCAGGAACCCAGCTTAAGTCAACTTATAACATCTAGTGGCTATGGCTGCTGAGCGGTAGTCTGAATTCCCACCAGAACACTGTATTCACCACCAGACACACTCTCACTCACACACACACGTACTAGGATCTGCCCTGAGTGTCCACGCTTCTACACAGAGACACACTGCACTTTATCTGTTGACGTCAGCAACCTGGCGGCTATGGCCTCCATCGTCTTCCTCCTCCTCTAGCGGCTATGGCCACTACCTTCCTCTCTAGCCACCTTCGTCATCGGGCTCCTGCAGACCTCTGACGCACAGGTCGCACAAGCAGCACTTCCACATGTCTCGAATGAATGAATGGCTTGGTGCTGCCTCTTTATTTATACTGTTTCGTCGGTGGTCTTGGCCTGGCCCCTGTCCCGGGCCCAAAGAGTGTGCAGCCCCACCTGGTACTTGCTGACTGGACAAGGTGGACTGGGACTGCGACTGGGACTGCTGACTAGACAAGGGCTAGGCTCCCCCTCACTGACTCAGCTACGGCCTACTGACTCCTACAGCTCTGAAGAGCCAAGTAATGACTTCTAGAAAGTCCTAGGCTACGTGGACTGACCCTTTGCTAACCTATAGGACTGACCCTAGGATTGTTCAAACTAAGACCTGTGGTTCAAGTCCACACGACCCGTCAGTACACACAAAAAACAGATGTACGATTTTAAGGGCAGGTCGTGGGTTCAAAGCACACAAGGTCAACGGGTAGCTGCACAGGGGTTCAGGTTTAGGTCTAGGGATCGAGCTCTGGGATCTGCACTTGTCGTGCGAACTGGGTGAAGACCTTTTCAGTATGGCAGTTGATGAACAGGTCATGAGCACGCTGGTGAACAGCATCCACATGTAGCCACTGAAAAACAGGGCATGAGTTCAAATCCGGGTTTGTACACACATTAGGTGTTGATAAACTGGTAATGATTTTGAGTCCTGCGATACAGATGTAAAGCCCCCCCCCTTGTGACCTCCCCAGCTCTTTCTACCGACTCGTAGTGCTGCAGGTTAGAAAGTGGCTTCCCTCCGCTTGTTTGGTTGGTGCAGAATTCTGTTCCAGTCATACATAAAGAGTCTGTTGTATAAAATCCAGTGAAGACTTGGATGGGGGAGCCCTTATCAGCGTCTTTTTTCGCTTTTTGGCGTTCTCCTGTATGTGAAACATTGCTTTAGCGCTAAAGTTTACAGATCAACACGGATGACCACCTCTTCCACAGGTGCAATCCGAATACTTAAAAGCCATTCCATGGAATGGTCAGAGGTAGGGAAACACGGCTAGCAGCAGTTTTTCGAACATCACCTACCGCGTATACTGGCAAATCTGAGCCGCTGCTGACCCTACAGGCAGGACTGGCTCAACGTGCGGCTTCGCAGGGCCAGACTCCACTGGTGCATCCTAGATCCTTGGGCCTGGTGCAGCCTTGTAGCAACTTTCGACCGCCAAAGGCCCCATCTTGGCCAATGCTTTGACCTGGGGACGCATTTGCGACCTTGTCATCGAAGTGCATATGTGCTGTTGGGTTTCAGTTTTTTGATTGCTAATCCTTCTTCTGTCATAAAGTGAATTTGGCAGTTCTCGGTCGCGCGGCTCTGCAGGCTGGTGCCTTTCCATTCGCCAGTGTCTCTCCTGTTCCAGATGTCTCTTCGTCATTTATCCAGAGGACTCACCCCTATTTTTTTCATTTGTCATTTTGATATTTTAGTATTGTGTTTACTGGTTATGGTATCGCTTTGAGGTAGGAGGTAGTCACCTCAGCTGAGGTGTCCCTTTCAGTAGTAGTAGCTTCAAACTAGGCCCCAGGATCATATCGGCTATGGTTCCGACCAGACAGCAGGACTATTTTACAGTGGCCCTGCTCTAACCATGGATTGAGGTAGATCTCAGCAGTCCGAGGCAGCGGACCGTATGGAGGAGAAGCCCAGCCTTACTATACGTTTGTGGGCTGGGCCAGAGGACTTGGTTTTCTCTGAGGTTGGAGGTGGCCAGGCTGCTGGAGCATCAGCTTATACCATGCAGCACTGGGGGAGTAGAAGACATAGGCTAGAGAGGCGACGTGGTCCACTTTCCTGCCACTCAGGGTCCTTGTGCTTCCACGAGGAAGCATTGGGAGGCGATCAGGAGATGTGCAGGTTACGAGAGGAGGTGAGCTGCTTGTCGGCCGTATCCACTCATTTCGGCCACGGTATGGCCAGCTTGAGCATCACTTGGTTCAAGCATCTACACCTATAGGTCGGCTCCTGTCCACAGGGAGAGATGGAGGGACAAAGAGAGAAAGAGAGAGAGAAGGAGAGAGGGGCATGGGGGAGGAAGGGATCTGTTCTTTTCTTCTTATTTTGTGCTGTGGTGAGGGTATTGAATTTCGACATTGATGCTTGGAGAGAGAGATGGCGTTCATTCATTCGAGTCGCTGATGGTGATTTCGAATGAGGAGATTCTGGTGGATCTGGGATTGGAGGAGGAACTTTATCGAGAGGTCGAGGACGTTAGAGCGCCATTTTCATTCTCCTTTCAACACTCGGCTTCTGCTTCTTCGTCTTCATCTCCTTTTGTCGTCTCAGTTCGGACTCATCGATGGATGTTGTGCCTTCAGGTGAGGATTCCTCCATGTATGATTCACCGTCCATCTGTCACACATTGAGTGGACTAATGCTATTGTCTCCCAATACATTATAATTGGGGTGTTGATGTCCCGTTCCTTCATTATGCGTGTGCATTTTTTTTATCAATTTGGATCTTCCACTGAGCTTTTTGTATGGCAATGATTTGCATCCCTCTCACATGATATACATCCTTGGTATTGTGCACACTGGATCTCATCCCTGGTATGGGCCATGTGTCTACGTCCAGGTATTGAGATCCAACACATCATAGGCCTGCACTTCCCGAAGGCTGAGCCAGGAGGCTATTCAAGGTTCTTTGGAGTTGGTTAAGCAATCTGCTGTAGAAAAGGTGAATTGATCCCAGCAATTCTGTGTGGCGCACTAGTTCTTTCTTGTCTTGCACTAAAAGACCAAACACACATTGCGTGGATCAGTCCATGTCGAATTCATTGTGGGAAACTAGTTGTCCTGTGGTTGTCCTCACATACGATACGTGCAATCGGAACAGTGGCAAGGCTTTGAAATGCAAGCAGTGCCATCTGCTTTGGCCAAAATTATTTTCACTTGTTTTTTTGTCAGTCGGTAATACTCTGTATCCGTGTTGCTCTTGCTCTCTCTTTTTCTCAATCTATAAATTTCGTTTTACTGTTGTATTTTATTTTTTATTTCAGTTATTTTAACTTATTTAACCATTTACAATGGTTTACTCTCTTTAGAGTCTTTACTCAGTTTACTGTGTGTGCAATCTATTTTACTCTGTCTTCACTATGTGCACACGACTCTCCCCACTCCCTGCCCGATACGCGTGGCACAGCGAGACCCACCTTGATAATCCCCTTTACCGGAGTCTACCTTCGTATATAAAGATGTTTTGTGACCCTCAGTGCTCTCCCTCACTCACTCCCCCTATGCTTGGCGTGCATCATGTGACCGCTCCTTAGCACTTCCCCCCTCCAATGCCCGTGGAGCCTCTTGCAACTCACCCCTTGACACTCCACATTCCCTCCTCTATGGCAACAGTCCCTTGTGCTGCTTCCCGTTCCCCCTTCCTCCCCACTGCCCGGGAAATGTGTGTGAACTTGTGAAGAGTATTGCAACTGTTTCAGCTTCCCGTTCCCCCTTCCTCCCCACTGGCCGGGAAATGTGTGTGAACTTGTGAAGGGTATTGCAACTGTTTCATCCGTAGGGTGTATTTGTAATCAGCTTATGGATCTGAAGGGCTTCCTTATGCATATGGCAAGGAGTGTGTTGACTGGGTGATGACTCTCTGCTCAGCCGGTACTGTTTACCGAGTAGTTCGTTGCCAGTTACTTTAAGCATTGCCTTGTTCAGTCTCTCCCATATAGCTGTCATAGCCTGGGAATATTTCCTTAATCAGCATATGGAATCTGAAGGGCTTCCTTACGCATATGGTAAGGAGTGTGTTGACTAGTTGACGACTCTCTGCTCAGCTGGTAGCGTTTACTGAGCAGTTCGTCGACAGTTACTTCAAGCGATGCTTTGTTCAGGCTGCCCCGCCCATATAGCTGTTATAGCCTGGGAATATTTCCTTCTGTTAGATAGGGAACTTGTCCCTTGTAGGAGCTGAAGTTGAAAGGGATGAAGCGGGGTTGGAATCTGCCACACATGTTAGTTACTGTGCTCGGGGGAACTTTGGGGTTGAGGGAAGAGCCGTTGTTCATAGGCGGACATCACGGAGTCTATGTCCTTGAACGGGATCGGGGACACGGCGGTCAACACGGAGGCCCAACCCAGCCTCCGGCTCTGACCACATCCATCGGCCGCGCTTGTCGCGCAGCGCCCGTGGACGATATATGAGAAAGGTACTGGCGGTCTAAGTGGCGCTGTAGAGTGTCCCTTTTGTCGAAGGGCTTGTGGGGTGGCTTCGGGTCATACCGCACACAGCTTGAGGTCCCGGGTACAGACCGAGAACACTCACTGCACCGTGCACCAGCAGAACTACAGATCATGCTACAGCAATGAACCAAAAAGAAGATTGACGATTGGTGCACCAGCAGAACTACAGATCATGCTACAAGAATGAACCAAACAGAAGATTGACGATTGGATGGATAGGACAGCTGATTATGAATTTTGAAAGAGGCCAGCGGCCGTTCTGGACACTGTGACGAACACTCATCGCTTAGGGTCATGGATCTGGAGCAAGGACGGATCCGGTGGTGTCAAGCACTACATTGGTGAACTGTTTTCTGATCCAACGGTACTGAGAATTCCACCACTGTTGAAGACACTGACGATCGATGACCATCTAATGGCTGGGGATCTGCTAGTAGGACGAAGTGGGCCACGTAGGCATTGATAATCTGGAGCATGTGTTCTCGACCGGAGTGGGATGTAGTGACATACTCGAATGGACCGCAGCCATCTAGGAATGGATTGAAGATGGCGATATCACGTGAGTGGACGAGGCAGAAGGGCGAGGCTGGAGTGATGGTGTCACTACAGTTCTTCACACACACATTGTGTCCCCCACGAGAGTGAAGCCTCACATGATGTGCTATTTTTTGTCGACATGAAGTATGCATCTTGTTAAGACCATTTTTGAGGCCATAGAGTTGTTGAACAGGTCAGTCCTTTGTTTGAGGAGCTGCCTTCATTTTCATCTGAATAAATTGGCAGACGATTGGCGGTACGTCCCAGTGTTCTTAATCATGGAAATAAGCATTTTGCAATCAGACTCGACTCTGGACTTGCTCACGATATGCACACTTGAGAACCGATGGCAAAAACGAACTCTTCCAACTCAGAAACAACAATGAACTTGTATTAAACTCAGTCTGAATCAACTGTACAACTTGCGGCTATGGCAGCCGATCACTGTCTCTACCACCAGCCTCACTCTCCCTCACTCTCACATGCACGCACGTATGAGGATCACGCTGAATGTCCACGCTGCACAGACACACACACTCTGTACACCCTGTCTGCTGGGCGGCTATGGCCGCCATCGTCTTCCTCCTCCTAGCTATGGCCGCCGTCGTCTACCTCACTGGCCAGCTATGGCCGCTGTCTTCCTCACTGCCCACTTCCTCTCCGGGCACCTGCAGACCTCCACGCACAAGTTACCAGGGCAGCACTTCCGCACTGCCTGTTTATTTATACTTCTTCGGAGGTAGCTGGGCCCTGCCCCAAAACGCGTGGCCTGGGCCAAAACGCATGGGCCTGGGCCTCTCCAGAACGTGTGAGCTCGGGCCTGGAAGCTTCCAAACCCGTGGGCCTTCTGGGCCAAAACGCGTGGAACTCTCTACGTGCTCCAGAACCTTCCCCACGTGCAGCCCTTACCCAGGTACCTGTGGACTGGACTGCCTACAGGGACCTACGTCCTTCTATAGTCTACAGACTTGCAGACAGACTCTAGGCCCACAGTAGACTTAGGTAGAGACTTCTAGAACAGACTCCTTAGACCTACTGGTAACAGACTCAACTTCTAAACTACAGACCTAGGGATCAAGTCCTACTGTCCGTCCTACAGACTAGCCTAGGACGTAGAGCAGGTCTAGGGATCGATTCCTACTCAGGTCACTGGGTCTATGTACAGGTATAGGATAGGTCTAGGGATCGAATCTCACTCAGCACACAGGTTCAATGTACAGGGTTAGGGCACAGGTCTGGGGATCGAATCTCTATGTCTGCAATGTCCGGTCAACTGGGTCAAACCGTTTCAATTTCAAACATTGTGAAGACAAGATGTGAAATACAAATTGCCAGAAGCAATCGAGATTCAAAGCAGATAGTCCGCTGTTTGGCTGTAGACTGTAGTTAGCCATTGTTGGCCTTTTCTAAACTATCTAAAGGTTTCTAAACTTTTCCTAAAGGATCTAAACTACCTAAAGGTTTTTGAACTATGTATAGGTTGCCTTTCGTTGATCGAAGCATAGTGTGTCTAAGACAATGCATGTTTACGTTGAAGGCGTGAACTTGGAAGGCTAGTCTCCAGATCTGTTGGGTGTAGTTGTGCCATTTTGTGGTTGTGTAATGTTTTTCTGAGATATGCACTGAATCAGTGTTTCCTTGGGGGTGTATCTTTCCTCTTGTGCTCTTCGGTTTGTTGCATGTGGGTGGGGAGATGTGTGTGGAAGTGGTGGTTGTGGGGGAGGGGGGTGGGGAGTTGGGCGGGGGAGGGGGAAGAGGGGTGGTGCGGGGTGTGTGGGAGGCTGGGCGGAGACATGACAGTGTCTTGGACTGGCTCGCTACTGCACTGGGTTTGTGCCATGTTTGTCATTTTTGTTGTCTTGGGGGCCGTGGGGTGCATGTGTGTGGTGTTGATGCAATGCAGCCGCAAGGCGATGAGGACAAACCTTTAGCAAAGCGCAAGCGAAAGAAGCAAACTGACCCGGCCAATGCTGACTGACTTTGACTTTGGGCGATTCCTTGCATACCTTCAACAGCGCAACATATTTTCGTAAGACGTCTGACTGCCGTCTTGGTTGACTTGCAAGCCCATTCGCTGTACGGAGTGTGCAAAAGGAAGAAAGGGCGGGGGGGGGAGGGGAGGGGAGGGGATGGATGCCCTTTTCCCGTGGTGCCGTTTCTACTTTCATGTCCTGACATCGTAGATTTGTAGTCCTTTTCCTGCATGTGGCTCTTTCTTCTCCATTGTCCTGCATTGTTTTCTAATGTTATTCCTTGTTAAATATAATTCTCTTGGGCCATTGAGTTCAGTTTTCCGCTCAAATGTCATGATTCATCGGCTTCTGTAATTATTTCTGTTCCGTGCCAGGTGTCATTTCTTGACTCTGTTAAGTATATGTTTATTTCTTTGTAGATATTCATTGTAATACGATCCACCAATGCTGCAGCTGATGTAGCAATTTCGATGCGGAAGGTCTGTGAAAACCAAAAAATTAACCTGATTGTATAATGGATGGATGAATGCGAGTTGATGAAAAACATAATTGCAGGAGGTGAAAGTGAGATTGAAGGGAAAAAAAAAAAAAAAAAAAAAAAAAAAAAAAGCGCGACTGGAAGGAAAAAAAAAAAAGGACGTGTGCGAACTGCACACCAGCACAAAACGGGGGTGTGCCGGGCGCTGTATGCGCATCGTTCGTCCCAAGTTTTGTCTCCCGAGCCAGCCTCCACACTTGCACAGAAACAAATGCGCGCACTGTACAGAGTCTACTACAGACAATTAGAGGCGAGGCGAGAACAGCTGCATCCTGCATCGCTCGGTGATTCAAAAGTCGACTGGAAACATTTCAGGAAGGAAAGCAAAGCGGAGGTCGGGACCCAACTCATGGCGCGCTGGGCCCCCCTTTGAAATATTTAAAAAAGAAGCTCATGACAAGTGGCAATGATGACCTGACACTGTAGGCAATATCAGAGTAGTCTGACAAGGACGCATATCAGAGTAGTCTGACAAGGGACGCAACGGGAAGTAAAATCTGGCAAGCAGCGCAATAGAACGCTTCCATTGAGTTCTCATGTCTGTATGCGAAGAATCCTTTCAAAGGAATTTTTTTTTCGCTTGTTTTTTAGTAAGTTTCGAAGTTTTCTTGTTTGCCAAACATATTCCAAGATTTGTCGACGAGTTGCAAATTTTGATACGCTCATTTTCATTTTTTTCAAAGCAATGCGGCGCGCAGAGTATCTACCTGCAGTTTGTACTTGACAAACTCTTGCAAAGCCTCCAGTCACAAACTGCCGCAATTCGGACATGAAAGAGAAAGAGCACTTGGTTAAACAAAGTGTGACCATTTGTCGTGTGATGTATAAAAGATTCGTCAATTGTCACCATTTTTGGTCAGTCAAGCCACTGCAAAGAAATAAAATAGTATACGGATTATTAGGGATTAATACGGAACCTTTTTCAACATGTTGTGTTTTTTTTTCTTTCTGAATAAGCTTTTTTTTTTTAATAATAAAATTTTATATTCAAAAGAATCAAAACAATGTTTGAGGCCAGGTACCTCGCAATTCAACCCGAGTTATCCTGAGAGCATTACCCAGTTTAGCTTACGAGCAACAGCTCGGCACGGAATTCCTTCATCCTCCCTATTCGTATTATATACCCTAGCTGTGTGACCTTCTATACTCCCCTCAGCTTCTCTAGCTGTCAGCTTTTCTTGTCTCTAGAGTAATGAGGCGATCTCTGGGAGACCGCCGCTTCCCCAGCTGATGTACACTGTGGCCAGCTGCTGCTCTGCTTTGTTAAACCCTAAACCCTACCTTCTTCACCCGAATAGAACGCCTGCGTGGTATTCGACCCACAGCAGTTGAAGGAGGCTCCCCAAGCTTCTGTGTCGATGGTCTCCTTGTATCTTTTCTTTCAAATCGTCCAGAGCGTGAGAGGAGGGAGTCCCCTGCCACTCTCTGTGGGAGGGCGGGCTCTTGTAATCCAGTGAGGCGTGTGACCGGTTTCCTGATAAGGGCATATCGGTTACTGATGTCCATACCTCTGTTATGATCCACAGCTGTGTTGGGCTCAGGCAGAAGAGCAAGCAATGTGGCAGGTCTTCTCATGTTCCACGTCGTCGAATTGTCCTCTTGCTGCTGCTGATCGACGCCTGCTCAACCACTTGTTGAAGATTAGCCATTGTATACGTCTGATGCGGGTATTCCTGATGGAAAGCGGGATCTGCCAAGAGATCTGTACCCGTCGTCCTAGCCCTACGGGCAGGTTTCCCATCTTTTGGTCAATGTGTCACTAGTGTTGGCTGGCCACCGTCTGAGTCTGTAGCGCAGTCCTGTAGAGTAGTCGAGGATGTTGGTTCTGCGCTCTGTTCCTGTACGCACTGAGAGCATTTCCCAGGCCCACTCTGCCGGGTCGAATTCCAGGTCCCAGAGTTTGTACTCCTCGTCCTCCACCACTCTCACTTTTCTGAGCAGGGTCGGTTTAGCAGTGACTCTGGTCCTCACTGTCTAGGCGACGGTACTGAATGTCTGTCCTTGTTGTCGGATGTCGTGGATAGTCCATAATGCCCGCTCTCCCGCTGGGCGTGTCGTCTTGACGTATGACAGCGCGACTGTGGGGATGCCTTCCCAGTTTCAGGGTGCCGAATCTCCGACCGCCCACGTTGCTGGGACCTGCAGCAGTGTTAGCCATTCGGGGGGATCGATTGCAGGAGGGTTGCCAGATTATTTTGCAGATTGTGGCATCCCTTGAGTGAGTCTCTGAGTACCACACTGGTTTTCCATCAGTTGTGATGCTGGTTTCATATATGTCCGATTCGCCACACTCCCCGCTCCAGGCATGTGATCCAGTGACCGTTTTGCGCTGTCAATGTCCAGAGGAGTCCCGCAAGGATTATTGGAGATCTATCTTCCCGGCGAAAGTCCGCAGATCGGTGAATAAGCATTTTTCTTATTTTCATCGACTTTGGCTTTTTTTGCCTCATGTACTGCTCCTTGAAATCTTCCACCATACAGATGGAGGTAAATTTGGGTGTAAAAGCAGTTGGAAGTGTCTGCAACAGCATGAGTCACATGGCCCAAGTTAACTTGGGCCATTTGACAGACCAGTTGGAACCATGAGTCTGGACCAGTTG